GGGCTATGAATGAGTGAGTCATTAGGAAAGCCAACATTTTTTATCAATTGGGAAGGAGGAAAAAGCTAACAAGATGCGATCTTTGATTTGATTCTGGGACTGTAAAATCTGGGTCTTTGATTCCATTTCCGATTATTTTGATTGGCAGCAAATGAACGGTGGTAAGGATGAGGTCGTCGCAGCTCCGGCGGGTCCACCGCAGCCCCTCGACTGGAAATTCTCTCAGGTCTTCGGTGAACGCACTGCCGGTGAAGAAGTTCAAGAAGGTAATCTTCCACTTGGGGTGTATCCTCTGTATTGATGTATGTGTAGGTTTGGTTCGTTTTGGATCCAATTGGTGTTTTGTTTGTATTGTTGGAATTAGGGTTTGTTTTTGCATTTGTGGATCTATTTGGGATCATGGGTTATCGAGCAATTGCCGTTAGCTTTATGGGTGTGTCAGTAATTGTTGTTTTTTTATGAGAGTTTGATTGTGTGATTTAGAGAACACAGTGGGTTTGGTGCATATGATGCTTTCATTGATTTTTGCATGGTAATCTTCTTGTCAGATTGGAGAAATAAACAGTGTGGTAGTGAACTTGGTTAGCCTAGTGGCAGTGGTGTTTATAGTTTGCTTCCTTTTAGTTTGAATTCATTAAAAATAGTTTGGATCTTGTTGCCTTTTCTATCTTTTTAAAATTACCATGATTTTGGGGCTTAACCACATGCAATTAAGTGTTATCTTTTGGACTTAAATGCAAACTGGATTTTGGATTATGGTTTTCTGGCTTAAGTTGCATTTATCACTCATAGAAATGTGTGGGCGTTTAAGTCTTCATGCAAAAATGATTCACATTCCGATGATGAAGCTTTCTTGGAATTGGGTGGTATAAGGAGGGTTAGGTTGCAAGTCGAATGTTGTAAATTGTATGGTGGAGCTATGTAAGGTGCATGAATAAGATGTGGAGATTCATGATTGGTGACATCTTACCTTGTAGATGGTAGTTTTAGGGTCTTCTGTTCAACACATCTTATAACAATGCAAAACTAAAAGGAGTCTTGGTGCTGAGTTACTTTGGTTTGATCACTATAACTTTTTCCTCTGCAAATAAATTTTACCTAAATTAATTTTTCACCCAGTGCACTGTTATAGCAGGAATAGAACCAAAAAAAAAAAAAAAAATTTTGCTTTAGGGTTGGCCCTTTGAGGTAGCTAAGAGTTATGTTTTTACTGTATCCTCAAAATATATTTTAACTCTCAAATTGTTAGGTATGGTTTTGATGAAATGGCTTAATGGAGTAAGTTCAATTCCCTTTAAGATGAGCCAGATCAAAATAAAGAGCTACTTCAGCTATGGTGTCAGTGAAACAAAAACTGAAGTTATAATAAAAAATTGGTGAAATCCAGATAGATCATCATCATTTGGATGACATTCTCAGAAGCAAAATAGATGTGAATGAAATGAAAGTTCAATTTGGAGAAGTTGGATATAGTTGGATGTTCAGATTTATAACATTGTGTGAAGGAAATGGAGTACAAAGTAATGAATTAGTGAAAACTTGATGTTGAAGTCTCAAAGGAAAAGTTGGATGGAAGTTGTCTATGATTGAATAGTGATGCATTTTCAAAATTAATGACTTTGAGGAGGTACAAATTATGAGTGAGTATAGAGTGAGTTCAAGGAGCAATTAGTTAGAAGATTTTCAAAATGTTTTTAAGTAACATAAAATTTGACAGTTTCTGATTTGGAGGAGTGGCCATCAATGTTTGAGTCAATGTTGAGAAAAGTATTTTGTGGCAGACGGCAATTAGTTTGGATTAAGAATGTTATTAGGTTAGTGATTTTAGCAAAGGTTTCCATTGGATTGGTTCCTTTATCACAAGTTTTTGGACTGATAAGGTACAAAACTTAGAACTTAGAAGAGATAACTTCTGTTGGTCAGGTTTTTCTTGATCCATCAATATCTATCTCAAGCAGCGGATAAGTGTGACTCAGAAAAAGTTAAATACTGAAATTGACTTTGTGAAGAGCTCTAATATTCAGAATGTCTAGCATGAGCACTCTTGAGAAGAACTGTCTTGGTGTCTCTAATACCATTCTTGTCTGTCACACACTTTTTGAATGGGATTTCTGTTTCTATTCTTCCAACTGATCTCTCCAGTCTTGGCAGTTGTAATAAGAATGATACAGCCAAAGATGCTTTAAATTTAAATATACATTTTCTGTTTTCTTTTAGGAGGATGTGCTTTTGATAATAAAAAAGTATAACAAGAGAGTTAGAGGGAAGATACAGTATATATTAATTAATGTTTAACCTTGTTCTAAGAAATGTAATTTTAGCAGAGAAATTTTGACAGAATTTATAGAATCCTACCTTTTTTCCTGTGCAATTAAATCATATTTCTTCAAATTATTATTAAAGGATAAATAGGGATTATATTATATTGTACCTGGAATTTGTTCTTTGAGCAGGACAGTTTCACTGATTTTTCGCATCCTATTTCATTATGCAGTTGATTTAATTTCAGCGATTGAATTTGATAAAACTGGTGATCATCTTGCTACCGGTGACCGTGGGGGGCGGGTGGTTCTCTTTGAGAGGACAGATACAAAGGATGTATGTTCTCTCTGCTTTGAAGGCCCTTCTCATGATAATATATTGACCTAGCTTTTCTTTTCTTTTTTTCTTTTTTCTTTTTTTTATTTGGTTGCAACATTAACATTTCGTTTTGTGATTTATAGCATGGTGGATCAAGAAAGGATCTGGAGAGGATGGATTATCCAGTAAGTAAGCACCCTGAATTTCGTTACAAGACAGAGTTTCAAAGCCATGAGCCTGAGGTATCCTCATTATATTCTTTTTCATAAATCTCCCCAGTTATTGATATCGATTGTAGACTCTGGGTTGTCATAATGATTTTCACCTATATCCCTCATCAGTTTGATTATCTCAAGAGCTTGGAAATAGAAGAAAAAATCAATAAAATCAGATGGTGCCAAACAGCAAATGGTGCCTTGTTTCTCCTGTCAACCAATGATAAGACGATTAAGTTTTGGAAGGTAAGCAAGAAGGTTTCATTTGCTTATAAATTGGCTGCTGATACATTAGACATATTGCTGACATGTGCAGGCTGATGCATTTATATGTTTAGATACAAAAGACATGTAATGCAATACCTAATTGCTGAATCCATGACATTTGTGGTGGTGTTGTGTTGAAATGCTTCCTATAGTATGTCTGTGTTAAAATAGTTGGCAAGAATCCTAAGAATTTGGTAAACAATTTTTTCATTCCCTGTATTTGTTCTTCTCTCATAGACTGTTCTAAGTACTTATTTGTTATGATTATGACATCAGTTCTTTCAAATTCTTCTGACAATCATTTTTAGATATATTTAATTGTTGACACCATTATTTGTGTAACTTTGCCTTATACTCAATCTTGTTTCTTTGCTTTCTATCTGAGGATTGAGCAGGTACAGGAAAAAAAGATCAAGAAAATTTCTGACATGAATTTGGACCCCTCAAAAGGTGTAGGAAATGGAAGCATTGCTAGTTCAAGTAATTCAAGCATCCCCAGACCTTGTCTTGCAAATGGAGGATATCCAGACAAATTCTGCAACTCTTTGAGCAATGATTTCTCATTCCCACCTGGAGGCATTCCATCTCTCCGTTTACCTGTGGTAGTTGTACTCAACCCAGTCTTTTGATTTTCTTGCTATGATTATGTTTTAGACTAGGTGTAGATTCGGTTTTTAGTATTACGGTTGTATTGTGCACAAGGTGCACATGGACATACTTAACAACCAATACTTGTGTAAGAAAAGCTTTATGTATGATAAGGTACTTCTTTGCAGCACTGGAATTCTCTGAAGGAGATTATTAAATTAGGTAGCACATTAGCTTCAAGTGCCAAATTTGGCCTCTCCTTATAGTGATTAAGGGACATGCAAGTGCTTGTGCAACTTTTGTATTGTTTGCTTTTAAATGTTATTGGACCATATATGATCTCCTTGGAAATATATTTCCTGAACTTCATCTTCATTTCAGTTCCTTGACATCTATTAGCTCTGAGTTTTCAAGGTCTTGTTGAATCCTTTTATTTTATTTTATTTTTTAATTATTCTTCAATAGTGACTTTTTTTTTTTTTTGCTGAATAATATTAACCAGTTTCCACACTTCACTTTTGTTTCAAATGCTGTTCTGGTGACAAGTACCATGCCTTCTTTTTTTTTATTATTATATCCATTCTCTTATTTACCATTCTAAGTCTTAAATTATAAAATATTTAGGTAACAAGTCACGAGACTAGTCTGGTGGCTAGATGTCGTAGAGTTTATGCTCATGCTCATGATTATCACATCAATTCTATTTCAAATAACAGGTATGTACTTTTCATTACTTGGAATTTTTTTTGCTCTTTCATCTTGCTTTTGGTTTGCTTTCCATTTTCAGCAGGATTTTCTGAAAATTTACTGAGATTTTCTCTTTCCATCTTTTATAGTGATTGTGAAACCTTTATATCAGCTGATGATCTTCGTATAAATCTTTGGAACTTGGAAATTTGCAATCAAAGTTTCAATATTGTTGACGTAAAGCCTGCAAACATGGAGGATCTGACTGGTAATCCTCTTAGGAAGCTAGATTTTCACATGCATCCTTAACTTAAGTTGTGCGGTTTCAGTGAATTCTTGCTTTATTAGGTTCAGATTCTGGTAGATGGGTTATTGCATTTTTTTAAATTAAAATTGTGAGTTTGGGTACATCTGTTTGTGCCTGCCAACTGTACTTGGTCTGTTTATTTATGGAAATCATCTCCCCTTCTGTTAACCTGTTGAGCATTGTCACAATATATTGTCAATCTTTAGCTGCTATTTCAAGACCAAGCTGGCTATCTCAGTTGATTTGACATCTGACAGAAAAGTGCTGATTTTTTCTGTACTTTTAGCCTATATTCATAAAACTGGGCACTTTGATAAATTTGCAAAGCACATTTTGAGTTCTAAATGTGTTCAGCATAATTTCCTTGAGGCTTGAACCCATATAATTTTTATCCTTGCAGAGGTAATAACATCAGCGGAGTTTCATCCTACGCATTGTAATATGTTAGCATATAGCAGTTCAAAAGGCTCAATTCGCCTTATTGATTTGCGGCAATCAGCATTATGTGATTCTCATGCCAAATTGTGAGTATTTAAGGAATTTATATTTTCCTATATTGCAGTGCCCAGAGAAATAAGAGGGAGAAAGTCTTGATTGGATTGCCTTAGAGACTTGCATGGGGAAAAGAAGAGAGAAAATAAAAGCACCTGTTCACTTGGTTCTGATATACATCTTTGTGTTTTAATGAGATTATTTTATGCTGACAGGTTTGAGGAACAGGAGGCACCTGGTAGTAGATCATTTTTTACAGAAATTATTGCCTCAATCTCAGATATCAAATTTGCAAAGGATGGAAGATATATTCTTGGTCGTGATTATATGACTCTCAAGGTTTGGGTTTTTATTTGCTATTGATTTCTGGTTTTGTGACGAATTAAAATTTGCAATTATATGAGTGTCTGGTGACATATGCTGCCTACTTCTTCAAAGCACATCACAATGACTGTATTTTATTCAATCTGCCACCATTTTCTCTGTACATTAGATTTGATTTTCAGTGGGCCTCATAGCTATCAGTATGACATATGATGTCCTTTGTACAAATTTTCTATTTACAGATATGCAAAGTAGAGGAAAAGAATTGTGGTAAATTGTGTGGTTCACCTTGCTTATTGCTTGACTAGATGTAGTATTAGAGAACAAAACTCATGGGAGTCTCTGCTCAAATAGAAATAAGATTAGAATTGAATTATCTGTTGTATTGCTTTTGGTGGGAGCATGCTTCAGGTTTGAAGTTGTAAACAAACATGTGCGCATTTTGAGCCTTGAAATTGTGTAACTGTTATTTGAATTCTTAAATGTAGACTTGAAGAGAAAAATGGTTAGGAGAACCTAGGTTACTGACATGGGGGAAAATTGTTTGGTGCCTTAACAATTTGTATCTCCTATCTGTTGGGTTTTCCAAGAATGAGTTTCCTTGTCTCTTTATGGAAGATCGCTGCTTGTGATACCTATTCTTGTCTTATTCAGTTTGCTACATCCTGTTTATAATTTCAATTTTGGATTTTGAAACAAGATTTGGATACCTTTTCTAACTCATGCTTGGCATTCTTATGTCTTAAACATGATCATCTTGGTTATCCTGAATATTGTACCATGGTCTGTATTTCCTTTTGTTAAGTTGGAAATCGCACATTGATGAATCAGAGTGATACTTGTGGACTATTTCTAGACTTTTGTTGGCTGCATTTACTTGAACATTTTTTGTTCTTGAAAACACATTAGTTTGATGTTTTCCTTATGTTTAGTTAGGATTTTGGACTTCTTATTAATATCTAACTTGAGCCCTTGTTACATTGCTGTCAGTTATGGGACATCAACATGGATTCTGGTCCAGTTTCAACTTTCCAGGTTCATGAATATTTAAGACCTAAGGTATGGTTCACAGCTTCTCAAAAGAACAAGCAAACATCAATGTGTTTCATGTTTTGTTGTGTTGGTGCTGATCATTGTGTTCTTTGGTTGTTCCAGTTGTGTGACTTGTATGAGAACGATTCAATTTTTGACAAATTTGAGTGTTGCCTTAGTGGTGATGGATTGCGAGTAGCAACAGGTTCTTACAGGTTTGTTTTCTAGCATACGTCTTCTCTACTTATTTTTATTCTTTAATTTATTTTGGGGCATGTATAGTGATTTTCCATGTGATACAGCAATCTATTTCGTGTGTTTGGTTGTGCCCCGGGAAGTGTTGAGCCAACAACCTTGGAAGCCAGTAAAAATCCTATGAGGTAATTTCAACAGATGAACGATACAAATTATGAATTTTCTGTACAATTTGGGTTTACCATAAACATTGAATGTCCCTTCAGGAGACAAGTTCAGACTCCCTCAAGACCTTCCAGATCCCTTAGTAGTATAACACGTGTTGTCAGGCGAGGTCAGTGCTTTATCTGTTCAATCATCTACTTTCTATTACCTCTCATTTCTGATTAAATGCTTATTTTTGAAATTTCGATTCCTTGGGAAGATGAAAGAACTATTATGTGCATTCATATAATTTTCTTCTTGTTAATCCTGAATCAATAACAGGACCAGAAAGCCCCACAGTTGATGCCAATGGAAATTCCTTCGATTTCACTGCAAAGTTGCTGCATCTAGCATGGCACCCAACTGAAAACTCAATTGCATGTGCTGCTGCAAACAGCTTGTACATGTACTATGCATAAGACAGTCCAAGAAGGGAATCTATTTGGTTGGTTAACCTTTTTGGGTTGCTGTTGGAGAAAGCTCCTTTTCTTTTCCCACCAACCAGTGAGTTAAAAGTTACATCAACTCTTACACACTTCCAAGGCCCTCATACCTCTAGCATCCCAAGCAATAGCATCAAGGTCGAAAAATGGCTGTCGCAGAACGAATCTACGAGGAAGCAGCCTGTTTTTGCTCCCCCAGTGGGCAACGTGATTTCATTTTTCTCTTTCCCCTTCCCTTTCCAACCCCTTAAAAAATTCCTTTCAATATCTTCGAAAACTGGAAGATACGGTAATGTTTTTCTAATTTGTGCTGGGTTGAAGTTAGAAGAAACTGTGATTGTAGAGCCACAACCACAAAACTAAAGGATAGATGTTGGATATTTGCCCCTAGGTTTTAAGGTAAATGTAGGTTTTTCCTTTTTCTTTTTTCTTTTTTATTTTTGGTAACTCAGGTCTTGATGGGAAAGTGCTGTTGAAACTTCAAGTGCATCATTTTTTCATTGATTCTTTTTGTCTTGTTTGAAACTTCCTCCTTTTAGTTCAAGATTAAGTGTAGCCTTTACATTTTTTGCTCTCTTAGATTTTTTTTTTGGTTTGGTTTTTCCCTCCTTTTTTTTTTCACTAGTTTTAAGATTTGATGTATGTAACATAATTTCCTTTCTATTAGGATCCATTTTCAATAAAAATAATAATTCAGTACTTTTGCTGCAACTATAACTCAAGTGTGTGTGTATATATATATGTATATATTCTTTTTTAACAGTTGGTGATAGACAAATAAGAGGTGATAATTTTCTTTTTTTCTCAAATCTTTCCTCAATTAAAAGTTTAAATATAAAATTTTTAATTTCAAATTTCAAAATTTTAACTAGATAACTCTCGTATTATTATAGAAGTAATTAGTTTTATTTATTTTTGTTGCTCTATTAGTTACGGAACAACTTATAATTGTTTTTTTCTAATAGAACAAATAGGTGTGTTTAAATGAAAAATAACAACAATTATAAATATTAACTATTAGTCTCATAAAAAAAATATTAATTATTAATTATTTTTTAACAACTAAACTAAATAAAGTCTCAAAATTGTATAACCGAATACAAGAAAATAATAATTTATTTAAAATAAAATGAAAAATAGGAGGCTGTGAAGAGAGGTGGAGAGGGGTCTGCTCATCCCCCTGCCCAGATCCATCATTCTCAAGGTCCAGTTGGGCCATTCATATCCAGATCCACGGATACACACAACAAAGCGACAAAAAAGCCCAAAGCCCGTCTAGAGGGGATGGGCTTCCTGTAAATGACCAAAATACAACTTTGAATACTTGAAAGACAAAGTCCTACTTGTTTAACTAACAAGTAACAACCCCTCCTTTCCTGCCTTCATAATCTCAATACTAAGAACTGATTCTCCAAAATTTGTTCAACTTCATTCAAGGTAATTTTTCAAAAATTCGTGCATCATATTCTTTTTTTTTCAATTATTTTTGTCTTTGTATCATTGGTGAGTTTGTTTCCTGAGAAAATTAATTGAAACCTCATTTTCATGTTTGTTATTTTCTTTTGTCACTTTCTCAGCAACCAAACAGCTCTTTTTTATATATTGATTAGAATCTTGATTCAAAATTGTCTAGCCATTGGAGTTGAATTTTTGTTTCTTGTGTATGATTAATCTGAAATCCAGTTCTCATTATATGGTTCTACCCATGGAACAACCTAATGCAGCAGGAGAAAGTCTTATTTTTGAAATCCATTTGTATTCACAAATGGCCTTTAATTTCTAGGTTTATGAACTTAAGGCAAGAAATCATGCCCCTAAGTTGATATGAATGAAAGTAATCAAGGAAAGTAATTATATATATACCCTATCAGCGCATGTAGTGAAGATTAATTGGTACTCCATGACTATGTCTTATTGTGCATGTAATCAAGGAAAAAATCTGTTGTATGACATAAATATATATGTCAAATTAATAATAAAAATTTAGCAACTTGTCAATTTTATTGAGCAATCAATTTTTTATTGGTTTAGGATACACATCCACATGATATAGCAAAATTTCTCATCGTTAGATATAGAAAGTAATTATATATATACCCTATCAGCGTGATGTAGTTTTGTTATCGACATAAAATTTTCATTTTATTTAGTAATACATGAAGGGTGTTGGATGGAAGCAAGAACTTGTGAGAACTGTGTCCATTTCTTGATTAGCATTACCAGTGGTACTCATACATTTGTAGTTGGAATAAAAATGCAGAAGTAATGAAGATATATTTCAAGTGGCTCCTAATGTTTAACTACTTCAATCTTACTTGCACCAGTTCCAGGCTTGACATCAAAGCTGCCTCTTTTAAGAACAACAGCTGCTCAAGCTTCACAAGTTGTGACCAAGAATGCTGCTAAAGCATCACAGTTCGCGACCAAGAGTGCTGCTCAAGCATCACAATTTGTTACCCAGAGTGGACCTTCCTTGTACAAGGACTTGCTGGAGCGTAATAAGCAATATATCCAAGATCCATCCAACGCAGAGAAATGTCAATTATTAGCCAAACAGTTGTTTTACACTCGTCTTGCCAGGTTATTTCCTCATCATATATGTATATAATTGGATACTCAAACTGCTTCGACTGCCTTTATTTTAGTCACCAATGCCATTTTTCTACCGTGTGCAGTATTCCTGGCCGTTATGAAGCATTTTGGAAGGAGCTTGCTGAGTTGAAGAACCTCTTGAAGAACAGGCAGGAACTGAATCGAGAGAAAGCTGGCATTGCTGCCCTGTTTGGACTCGAGTGCTTAGCTTGGTTCTGCTGCGGAAAGATTATTGGACGTGGGTTTACTATTACAGGTTACCATGTTTAAAACTTCCAGTTATTAAACTTGATTGAGCAAACCAATCTGGCTTGCATTGGAAATTGCTTCTCTCTTAAAATTCTGAACTGTTTGATCAACTAGGCAAATCCTGGAACTATAACATCCAAATTTTGTCGGCTTTTTCTTCATTTCCATTTTCATGATTTTCATTCATGGAATCATAAATGTCACTTTTAATTATTCATTTCATGGTATTTGCTTGACTTTCTCCGAATATAACTGGTATGCTCTTTCTTCTGTAAATTCTTGGACGGTTAAAAAATGAACATGTAGTCCAATGATTAATTTCCAGCTATAAACTTTAGAAGTCTGAACTTCAATATCAAGTTTAATTACAGAAGAATAAAGGCTCCACTAAATCTGTGATTCTCTTCTCCTCAATATTTATTCTTATACAGAAAAAGAATATATGCTAGTGCATGTTATAATACAAATTGGTTTGTTTTTTTATGGTAATTGCTTTGCTTTTAGGTATGAAAATTCTATATGTTCTTTGACATTTTCAGTTGGTAAATATTCTTACGTATTTCGCCTTATATTAATAAAAGAGTTGAGCTCGAATTTGATATTCAGCTCACTTACACATATGGACAAAGCTAGAGCTTTACTATGTTGAGCTGGTTAGCCCTTTTGAAGGAGGCAATTATTTTTTTATTTGAGAAATATTACATGGAGTGCACAAAACATGGAGTGCACAAATACTCACTTTAATTGACTTGAGTGTTATATCAAAATTTTAGAGTTTGTTTGATTTTATAAAAACAAAGAGAAGGAAAGAAGTGGGGATGAAAAGACTTCCCATTCTTTTATTTTCCTCCATTTTTCTCACTTAAAAAAAAAATTTAGTAACTGAATAGAAAAATTATCCCCTCGATCTCCTCGTGTTTTGCCTCTCCTTCCCCCCTCAAACTAGACCTAGCTTTTGGCATGCCTATCATAGGCCGTGTTGCAAGCGGGAAGAAAATGGAGGGGGAGTTTACTTTAAGGTCCACGAACCCACAAACACTGAGTGTGCTCGTAGGACCTACCAACATGGCACCTGCATCCCATCCCATCATTGTCTCTCGTGCTTCTACAGTCATTTTTCCTATCATTCCCACTTCACCTTCTTGTTTTGATTCCATCTCAACCCTCCACTTCTCGTCTCCCTAATCATGACCATTCATTGCTTTAGTAGGGCCTCAATCAATTGCTCCTTCAATTCTCCAAGTTCTCACACGGATCCTTGATTACCGTATGATGTAGATACCCTCTACCTCGTAACCTCCCTCAAGTAAAGTTGTACCGAAACGTATGTACTTGTTAAAATGGACAGAGGCAGTACCAAGTAACTATAGTTAGAATTTATTGCGAAAATAAAAGTATTTGATAAAAATCTTATTAAAAATTATTATTATTTTTTATCTAAATTATTAAATTTTTATTTACAATTTATATTTAAAAAATTAAATTAAATTAAATATATTAAAAATAAACAAAAAGAATAATAATTTATTGGGAGATGTGATTTAATTCAATATGAAAGTTTGAGATAAGTAAATTATAAAAAAATAAAGGTTTTTATTTCAATAAAATAAAAAAATAAATAAGATAAAATATTATTTTTACTTTAATTTATCAACTGTTGACAATAAATTAATATAATATTTTGTTTTAATAAAATTAAGAGATGTGAAGTGTTTTTTTTTATATTTTCATATAATTTCACATGTTATTTTATTTAATTATTAATTTTTTAATTTTATTAGTAAAATTTATAATATTATATATATAAAATAAAATAAAAAGATAAAATATTTTTTTTACTTTAATTTATCAACTGTTGACAATAAATTAATATAATATTTTGTTT